AGTGGACAGAAGTGGATGGTGGGAGGAGAGAGGAGAGAAGAGGGGGAGGATGAAAGAGAGGGAAAGGAGCAGTGGAGGGAACAAGGACGTTTCTGTTCCTTTTCCAGGGACCTGGCCAGAGCTGGGCGGAGGGAAAGTGTGTGTGGGACTTGGCATGAAATGACCAATGATGATGAGAAGTGACCGGGAAATTCCATTCCCTAGGATATAGGACACAAGGGTCTCTATAACTTGGGGGTGAGGTCAAAGTGTGGAGAAGACTGGGCAGGGTGAATGTGGTGGTGAGGGTGGGGGAACAAGGCCAGAAAAGGAAGTAAGAGCCACTGGCTGCCATTCTCCTTCTTTAAAATATCTAGAGAAGAGTGGGTTGAGGAAAAATGAAGTCCTGAGCTGGTAAACTCAGGAGGAAGAGGCACCCGAATCCACTGCCCACTATTTTAACCCCACAGTGAAAGGGAAGGGTTTGGGAAAATAACAGGAGAGATGAGGATTAGATCGCCTAAGGCCATATCCCGACAGCTAAGTAGCGCTGAGAACTGGGCCTGAATCCCAAATAGGAAGAGTGAAACATGGAGCTGGGAAAGACACCAAGGTCACACAGGGCTTAAGAGCTTCAAAACTATTGGGGAGTGAGCAGGAGATGGGATGGAAGAAAGGTTCCAGGGAGGAAGGATGTACAGAGGTAGTTCCCTGGTCCCGTTCTAGCCCCAGACCGGTTTTCCCGGTCCCACCGCCTCCAGCCCCAAGGCCTCCAACCCGCTGCCTGACAAGCCTTCACAAGAAGCAGCTGGAGAGAAAGAGAAAGAGAAAGAGGATTGAGAGAAAGGAGTGGGCAATTCTGGCTATAAGCCCAGGGCTGCAGCTGGTCCCCTGTGGAGACCTCCAGACATGGAGGGCTGCTGAGGGGCTCTAGAGAAGTAGGGATGGACCCCACTTTTCAGTCAAGTGACAGGCATTTGCCCCAGCACTAACCGTGCCCTTCCCCAGGAAGGGTCTTGTGGGGGCTTAAGAGGAAACAGAGCTAGGCCCTAAGCTCCAGCTCCCCTTCCCCAATATATTCAGTTACATAGACTCCATTTCTGCCCACCCCTCAACACTACCCAGAAATTCTCTACTCCTCCCAACGCTGAACTAGAATTGGGACCTCTGTGTGAATCTTTCGGACTCTGTCACTATCTTCCGTGGCTGCCCGGGTCTCAGATTTAGACCTTCCAGGACCCAGCTTTGCTTCACTTTGTCTGGCACAAGCCACCACCAAGGTTAGTGAGTATCGAAGGAGACCTTCACCCCCTCCCGCCTCCCCCCACCACTCCAGTCCCTTCTACTCTTCAGCGGCCTCAGCCTGCGCACCGCACGAACGTGGATGGGGACTGTTACTCAGGGAACTCACCCCTTTTCCCACCGACCCAGCATCTCAACAGCCCTGGACACCCTCCTCCCCCACCCCCAGCATCCGGTGCGTCTCCGCCTGGCTGGGCAGGCGGGGCGCACCCGCCGGGGAACCGGCTCCACGGCCTCACCTGCTCTGCTGCGGCATCGAGGCGTCCGGCTGCAGCTGCGGGGGGGCTCCGGCTCGATGCCCGCCAGTGTGGGGCTCCCGGGCTCGCTCCTCAGCGCGGTAGGGGAGCCGAGGGCGGGTCGGCAGAGGTGGGGCTGGCCGAGGGCGGAAACGGCGGCGACGCGATTACGAAACCCGTCCGGCTGGGAGCCGGGCGCACAGCTCCCCCCTGGACTGCTGAGGCACTGCACCATGGAGGGACGTGGGAGGGGGCCTCGGAAGCCCCCGAGGGCCGCCGTCCCTGCTGGGCGAACCCGGGAATGTGGACCCCTCGAGAAGGGCCTGGCTCCCAAGCTGGGCCCCCCGGAATCGTTCCCTTTGTACGCCAGGCATTGAGGGGCAAAACGAATAGGAGCCCCCAGATCCCCCGGACCCAAGTTCAGAGATTCGCAGACGTACACACACACCCCAATTTTCTTGTGCTCTACCCGAAATGGAATAGGACTAGGTTTATTTACCCATTGTGAGGGTGCGGAGGAGAAGGGGTTGGAGGAAGGGATGGAGAATTCTTCTGATTCTCAAATACACTTTGTAACGTGAAATCCTTAAATTGGGGAATAAAGGGACACTCCTCCATTATTGTCTAGAGTTAAGATTTTTATCCATAAGCCTAAAATTAGAGGACAATTAACTGCTCATCCATTGCACACTCGGTCAGCATGGGGTGCTGGAAGACCTTGGGAATAATTGCGCAGACCAATAAATTTACAGAGATGCTTTAATCCTGTCTCCCTCCCTAAAGTGTTCTGGAACCTATCATTTGAATTAGCCGAGTCAGGGAGGGAGGGGGCGGGGTGTCCTTCCCCACTTCTTAGGAGGGGCTGCATTGCAGGGGGAGACTGAGCCGACACCGACAGACTCCGTCACTGAGGAGGGAGAGGGAGTAAGAAGACAAAGCCGTCCAAGCCCCAACGGCTTTCTTTTTGTCCAGCCCAGAGCAGACACCGGAGCCCCCGAGGTACTCCCTCCATCTTTGGAACACGCTAGTAATTCATTGATAACAGGTAAACTAAACGGAAGGAGGGGGACAGGGGGCTGCAAAGATAGAACAGCTGCTTCTGGTTAGGTTGAAGACCCCAAATAAGGATGAGGTTGGGAGACAGTTCAAGAGGAGAGATGGTGGCTCTATGAATAATAGGTAGTTATTTGTTCCCTGTTTTACATCTCTTTGCTAAGATCTCCATCCATGCCTTATAATCCTTTACATAGACATTAATTTCTAGCAATTTACATGTACTTATCATTTCTCAGCATTTATCTCATTTCAAGTATCTATTTGCCTATAATTTATTGTGTATTTTATTATCTTCAGTCTAGTTATATATCTTCTTTTTCAAGCTATAATTTGTTCTACTAGTTTTTTGATGAAATCTCTAGTCCTACTGTATCGTTCTAGCCTCTACTTCCCTATATTTCCAGTTTTTTTCTGTAGTGTTCCATTGACATGTCTACCCCTCACCCCAAACTTCTTTGTCTCTGTAGGAGGGAGTTTGGGTGGGGGGATATGAGATAATATTGAGAGTAATTCTGACCTCTCTTTTAACAGTCTCCTTCTCCCCATCTCAAACGTTAGCTCCAAAGAAAGAAGCCACTTGAGGTAGGAAGGTGGGGGCCTCTGTGTTGGAGAACTGCCTGATCCCATATTGAAATCAGTACAGCCCACAAGAGCTAGGTATGGGGGCAGATTCTGGAAAAGGAATGCTTATTTGCAGCCCAGTGGAATAGCTGGAGAAAGGACATGGCTAATAGGAAAATCCACGCCCAGAATGAGGCACATATAATGAGATGCCAGAGAGCTTCCATTCCGCTCCAACACCATCTCTTGTCCTTCCTCCCTATGGTGGCAGGATGACACAGCAAGGCCCTGTTGGGTGGGCCCTGGATTCCTGCAGAGGGTCTGGACAAAAGGTATTTTTGTGTCTGTGCAGCTCAGAGAGTGGTTTTTTTTTTTTTTTTTTTACTATATATTTGCTAATCATGTATTTCTAAGAATAGACAAAATGATATTTAGAAATTACCTTTGCCTAAAATATCTGGATAATTTAAAATGAAGGATAGTGGGAAGCATTTATTGAGTATATATTGTACAAGGCACTGTTCAAGCCCTTCAAGATAAGTAAAAGAGATGTAAAGATAGATGAGGTATGGGTGGAAAACATTTAGGGAGAGGAAGAGAAAGCTAGCTGAAAGGGACCTCTTGCAAAATTTGGGGACCTGAGAATTAAATCCATACTATATTAAATAAAAAATTTTCATTACTAATGAATGTAATGTAAATGGCATTTTAGCTTCAATTTTCTGTGTAGTCAATGTTCTTGGCTTGATTTTAAATGCCACATATGCTTGTATGAGTGTCTTTCTAGAACGCATTTGGTACTCTCTGTACATGTCTCTGAGTCAATGCACAGCTAGAGATTTTAGGCCAAGTTAATATTTTGTAAAATTTCCTTTAGCTTTTTTAATTGCAAGATAAGCTCTGCCGGACACTCAGGGATTATTTGGGTGGTTTTTATACATACTCTGGTCGTAAGAGGAGTCAGTCTGTCAAAGAGCTTTTTCTCTTAGATTTTAGCTTGCTCTCTACTGCCTTTTGCATTTTCACCATTCAGATCAAAATCACAGGAATAATCAACACCTAAACCCACTGAATATCTGTTCTTCAGGAACTAAGAATTCTTGCAAGTTTTGAGCATATTGGTATAGGATTATATAAAACTGTAGACAACTATCTATGTACAACACATCAAAAAAGGACCAGATTGGGAATTATGAGACCTGGGTTCTATCCAAACTGGCTGGAAGGCTTCATAAGTCAATAGATAATTTCTAAGGTGTTTTCTAGTCTTAAAATTCTATGATCTTTTTCCCGATGATTCTGTTTTTTAAAGAGCCTATTATATGCCAGCCTTATACTAAACTTGCTCTGGGAGGGGACTGGGCGGGGAGGGGAGGATATAAAAGAACCAGCTAGATAGGCAAATAACTGGTAATATTAGTTTAAAAATCCCTATGGCTAGAAGTCAGTAACAATATTGACTCCTAAGGTTTGCTTCTTAGGATCTCTGTGGTTCCAAACCTAAGCTGGGGTTGGTTGGTTGATAGGTACAACCATTTTTTGTAGCTCTCTTTTCTGCACACGTCTCTGCAAATTACTCTGGAGATGATCAGAGCTGAATATCATAGGATGATGACCTCACCTTTCCAACATGCTCCCCCACCCTCTTCCAGTCCCTGCATCACCCTCCTTCTAAGCAGCTTCTCTGCTGAGTAATGCTCAGTTCCCAGGGTTTATTTTGGAGCTTGAACCTAAGAAGAACAAGAGCAACTCAGACTTTGCCTTTAACATTAAAAACATCCTAGTCTACCCAGTCACCATTCCTAAAGCCCCTACACTCACACATAACCGTGTTTAGACTAAGGCTTTCTTTTTCTGCCTTAGTAGAGACATTTCACATTATATGGGGTTATAGAGTTTCTGTAGTGTAGTGGTTATCATGTTCACCTAACACATTATATGGGGGCATTTTACAACCTATTTAAGGCCACTATTTAGGAGTCTCAAGGCCTGGGGGGAGCCAATGAAGTGTGTTGGTAGGCCTTTTGAAATGGAGGTTCTATTTTTGGAGATGGTGGAATGTTCTACTCTTTTGGGAACATTTCAACTAATGCTTTTGCCCCTTCCCCTGGCTAGTAAGCAGCAGGGCGGAGGCTGCAGGGAGGTATAATAGTCATAACATCAGGGTGTGGGTGGGATGAGCAGAAAAGGTGATCAAAGTACTCATTAAAGCATGGAAAAGTAACTAATTCTGTTAAAGGCCTTTCTCCTTCCAATCTAAAGTTTACTTTCTTTACCTGGAATTTCCAATCCATCTGCTCTCACTATCATCAGGTATATTTTAGCATAAAGATCAGAGAAAAGAAATCCTTTTATAGCATAGGAAAATTCTTTTAGCACCTGGGGTTTGTTCTGGAAAGGTAAGCTAGAGAGAAATAGATAGGCTGTTAAGGCTTATCTTTGGGCTAATAGATGGGAATGGCAAGGTATTCATTGTATTAAATAAAGAATGAAGGAAAATTACCGGGCCACCCCGTGGCTTAGCCGTTAAGTGCGCGCACTCCGCTACTGACGGCCTGGGTTCGGATCCCGGGCGCACACCCACTCACCGCTTCTCCGGCCATGCTGAGGCGGCCACACGTACAGCAACTAGAAGGATGTGCAACTATGACATACAACTATCTGCTGGGGCTTTGGGGAGAAAAAGGAGGAGGATTGGCAATAGATGTTAGCTCAGAGCCTGTCTTCCTCAGCAGACAGAGGAGGATTGGCATGGATGTTAGCTCAGGGATGATCTTCCTCGAGAAAAAAAAAAAAAAAGAATGAGGGAAAATTAATCAGCAGCCTTGGATGTCTTCTGTGTGCAAAGCCTAGCACTTGTGAAGAAGGTACAAAGTAGACTGGTTTTTACCCTTTGGGAAACTCTCAGTCTCTTGAAAGAGATAAGACTATCCCTATACAAGACACATAGCAGTGATTTGTAACCCCAAACTGATATAGTCAGGTAAAACTCTACAGGGTGTTGGGGGAGATGCTGGAAGAAATAGGGTAGATGGAGCTGAGTAAATTTAAGGAAGTCCTACTGGAAGAGTTAAGTTTATAGTAGGGTGTAAGGAAGAAGTCAAGTATTTGCAAATATAATAGGAATTCAGGGGAAAGACTCTTCTAGGGACTTGAATGGAGTCTCGACACTTGGGTAATATTTTAAGATGGAGAGTGGAGAGAGTTAACCAAGACAGGAATAAGCATAACTATAGCAGAGAATGTACAACTGTTAGGAAGAATGGGGCCAGATTGTGGAAGGCCTTGAAAACCAGACCCAAGATCAACTTGAAACAGTAGGCAGTAAATAAGTCATTCCAAGATGGGGAGACATTAGGAAATGGTAACAGAGGAAGAGTTCCCAAAGCTTGTCCTAGGGAACTTGGATTACCTACAGAGGCAAATGGGGATGTAAAGTTTCTAAGTAAGGAAAGGCCATGGGCCACAAAGAGATTGCTATAACATTAATATTGACAAGTGGTTTCTTTCTAGGAAGTTATGAGGGACCCTGTGAGTAGCCAGTACAGCTCCTTTCTTTTCTGGAGGATGCCTATTCCAGAACTGGATCTGTCGGAGCTGGAAGGCCTGGGTCTGTCAGATACATCTGCCTACAAGATCAAGGACAGCAGCGTTGGCAAAATGACCGGGCAAGCAACTGAAGCAGAGCAGGAGAAAAACCCTGAAGGCGATGCCCTCCTTGAGTACAGCACCTTCAACTTCTGGAGAGCTCCCATTGCCAGCATCCACTCCTTCGAATTGGACTTGCTCTAAGCCCAAGACTTCTCTTTCCCACCACCTTGCCCTCATTGTCATCCCTTTCAAGCCCCTTCCTTTCCACTCTTTTCCCCTATTAATCTTGCTCTCTCCCCTCTATTGTGTTGAGGTGGTGGGGATGAATCTGCTTAGACTTGTCTTGTGTTATTTATTTATTTATCTATCTATTTATCTGTCTTTCTTTCTTTCTTATCACTTTCTCTCAAAAGCCCTCAAGTCACAAAGTAAAGGGTTCAAGCAATGGAGTATTGGGTCACAAGGATTCCTCCTTTCCCCCGCAGATATTAATTCCAGAAAACAGTCTTGATGGGGGCACTAGAGCATAGTATAGCAGTGCAGTAGAGGAAAATGGAGGACTGATTTTTCACTTCATTTTAATCTGCTTCAGAGATTGCCCAAACCTTCCTAATTTCCTCCTCCAGGCCAGTAAACACAAATATTTCCTCAAGGGTTGATGAAGACCTTGTAAGTTTTAATTTGGGATTATCTGCTACAAGACAGTAGGATTTCTAAAAGGCTAAGGTGATAAGTAAGACTCTTTTTTGATCTTAGCTTCTTGTAATACACTCCTTTCTCAGAGAAATTGGGAGTAAAGGTATAAAACAAGAGGAAATAATACATCATAGAAAATGAAAATAGGGGAAAGCACTGAATCATTTCAGAAATAGCTAAGCTCTCTGAAAAGGGTGTTCCTTCTTCAAGCCTACTCACTTCACAACTTTGCTCCTGTAGGTTGAAAACTATAGCTGAAGAAACTCTCTCTGATTTCAAATCTTAAGATGCAATCTTGCTGACTATTATGATAATTTGTGAAGTTCTGATTCTATTGCTAAAAGGCAAGGGGTTTGGTTCTTAGTATTTTAGTCTTGCCCTCCTACATTTGCAATGTATAATACTGATCAATGGGCCTCAGGCACAGTTCTTCAGCTACCTTGAGACCATGAAGTGAACAATTATATTCTAACCCTACAACTTGTCCCCACTGCTTCCCAAAATTATTGCTGCTGATTTGTGCTGCCATTTACTCATTTCTTTAATAAAGACATTCAATCCCAGGACTGGATTCTAGTTTTCTCTCTCTTCACAGGGAAGCAGTATAGACCTCAGGAATTAGTCTTGCCTTCACGTTCAGTTTATATAATTTTATCTTCCTAATATTCAACTTTGAGGAAGAATGATTTGGGTTGCCTTTATACATTAAAATGATGAACTTCAGATTGAACAGATAGGTAACCAAAAAAAAGGCAAAATCAATTTAAAATTATACAGTATTTAGGGAGAAAGCTGCAACCAATCACTCTTCTGCCTGCCCACTGACTACCAACATATTTGAGGTAATACTTCTAGATGCCTCAGAAGGCACCTGTAACATCAAATCTGCCCTTCATTATCTCAGCCTAGGCACCTAACAAAATAAACGAATTCACCCAAATATGTTACCTGCTTATCTATAACTCACCTCATTTCAAAGAAAAACAAAACTATCTGGACCAATTTACACGTAGTTTTTGGGAGCCTACTATATGAAAGGCACTGAGTCAGACAATATAAGAGGATGTAAACAGGAATGAGACAAGATTTTGACTCTCAAACTTAAAAAAAGGAGGCCAAAAATACCAACATGGATAGTACTCGGGCAGTATGCCATAAATCGTTCAAAGATGATATGAACAGGATGATCCAGATAAGTTCAGAAAAGGAGGAGATATGTAAGTCTTCCTCGTAGGTTTTGAAAGGCCCACCATCAACGACAAAAGCCAAAATCTAATAAAGAATGGAGCAGTGATCTGTCTTTTTTTATTTTTACTTCTTCTTGAAGGTCTTCATTCCCGACCTCTTGCTGTCCCTTAGTCATGGCGATTGGTGGATGGAGATGGGAATCAACTGTTTGGTAAATAAAATGCCTAAGTGGATTTGCACACTCATGCTCCATCCTCTTCCAGGGCCCCCCAAAAGTAATGACTCCGTTGTTTTCACTGTACGCGCTGACAGCTTGGCTCTGGGGTCCTTACATTCAGGCTGTAACCCGAAATAGGTGCGTCAAGCACCACAGCTCAATTCACACGCAAAGCCAGGAAAGTCCCAAACAACTTCACCCGAGGTTGAAAGAGAAACAAGGTTTCACCGTCAATCCTAAGGCTGGCCCCACAAGAAGCACGAAGTCCAACGTAAAAACTTATTTTTCCTCAGCGGTTTGCCGGGTTCTTGGCGCCAAAACAAACCATCGGGTCCGTCCCCTACCGGAACTATACGGCACGTAAGACACGTAACCAACAACCCTCCGCCTCGCTAAATAGTCCTGTCTAGGATTTGTCGTATACACAACTTTTCACCTCAAAACGCCTTCCAGGAATTAAAAATAAGACTCGGAGGTGGAGCACCCTTCTGTTCGAATAGAAATGTGGGTTTTCTAATCATTTCCTTTACACAGATTCCTCCGCCAGAAATTGTATTGCTAACTCTTCACTTCCGGGTCCGCCATTTTGTTACCTCCATTTCTCCACGAGGGGGGGTTAAAGGCCCCCAAAATATGCATATATGAAAAGGCCAAAAAGTAACCGCCACTGACAGGGAGTCTTAACTAGTGAAGCAAACGGGACCAAACTGGCGGGCTCGGTGAAAGCGCAGCCGGCAGCGTCCCGGACGAGGAGGTGAGGGGGAAGAATAGATGCGTGGACTCTGGGGGGGGCGTCAGGGCTGGAAGGGAAGAGTGCCGTGAGAAGTTGCACCGCTTCCCAGCCCAGCCTCGGACTTCTGGGGGCAGACAGAGCGGCGCCCCTTCACTGGAGCGGGGGCAGCTGGGGGAGGGGGACGAAGAGGAAGGGGATGCTGCCGGGAGGAAGGGGAGGGGACTGGGAGGAGGTGAAGAAGGGGGTGGGTGTAAGACCTGGGGCTGGGGAGCTGGACCGAGGGAAGCCAAGGCCACAGAGGTGACCACCAGGGGGCAGCGCGGAGCCCGGGCTGGGGGCTGCCCCCTGCGCTGAGACCTTGGCTCCAGATTGACTCTTCTTCCAGAAAGACAGAATATTGATGTGAGGACCTGGTGGATTTGTGGTAGAAGAGAAAACGGGGACTCTAATTCTCTGACTCCAATAATAGCCTAAAGATTATTAGTGAGCTCAGTAATCTGAACAAGAGCAGTTAAGGGCTCCGCCTCTAGTTCTTGCACAGTTGTTTGTACAGCTGGCGGCCCAGTGAGGACGTGTGCAATAGAAGAAAAAAAAAAAGGTCGTCAGACCATGGATTCTTGGATTCCAGTTCTCCTTTCCGTTAGCTTTCTGCTGTTTTCACAGATTTCCTTGAGCCAGGAGAGATGATCCCATTCCTCTCCCCCTTCCCAGAAGGACTTGTCTCTTTCTCTCTTTTTATTTTTTATTTTTTTATTTTTTTTTTAATTTTTTTAAAGATTTTATTTATTTTATTTTTTCCCCCCAAAGCCCCAGTGGATAGTTGTATGTCGTAGCTGCACATCCTTCTAGTTGCTGTATGCAGGACTCGGCCTCAGGATGAACAGAGAAGTGGTGCCTCGATGCGCACCCGGGATCCGAACCCGGGCCACCAGCATCGCAGCGCGCGCACTTAACCACCAAGCCACAGGGCCGGCCCTCTTTCTCTCTTTTTAAAATATCGGTGGAAAAGGACATTCTGTGGCTTACTTTCACCAACTTAACAACAGTTTTGGCTATCTGGAACCATATTTTCATCGTGCCATTTGACCCACCCAGCCCAAAAGAGATGTTCTTAAGCATCTATTTTCATACAGGCTTTCATAACACTGAAAGAACTGCCCCACCCAAATTCCTGTATCAACAAACCTAATTACTCTGATAATAGAGTACTTTGTTGTCAAGAGCTCAAGCACTTCATTAATTATTAAAACCCACTTATTGAAAGGTCTTGTGTGTTTGTTTGGGTGGGGGAGTGGGTGCTTTGTTATTTTCTTCATCTCCAAAATCCTAGGAGGCAAGTTAGATCAGATTTTGTTTCTTCACTTTATATATTGGGAAAGTGGAGGTACCCCAGTAAAGGAAAATATTTTCCCTTTGTTTTTAGTAATCAGGGAGCTCAGAAGTGCCTAGACTGTCCTCTTGTCTCTTAGGCTATACCTCTTGTCTGGTGGATACTGCCAGCGTTGACATAGGATACAGGGAGAATGGCACATAGTCCCTCTAAAATACTGTTATTTTAAAAATATATTTTACTTTTACTTAAGATAGATGCTTCAGATTAACTCAAAAGAAAAGAGTAGCTGAGAATAGGGGGAGAAAAGAACCTTGAAGAACATTTTTTTTGAGGAGACTTTTTAAATATCAGGTGATGACTACAACACCCTAGTTACATTCTAATCCCAAAATTTAACTATATCTTTATATAGTAAGAAATAAGGCTTTTCATGGCCTATTTAAAGAATGGGATGACAAATTTGGGTCAGTTGCCATTTAGTGGTACTGATACACAGACTCACAAATGTAATTAAAGAAAAGTGATAAAATTGACATATACATTAAGGCAGACTACAGTGGGAAAAGTTGACTGTTCAAAAATATTTTGCAAGAGTTCAGGTTTTGAGGATACCAGTTGCAGTGGGGTAAAATTAACTTAGTTAAAAGATCTTGTTTTCCAGAAGTATCAGCTTCCCAGGAATGTGAAGCAAACCAGGTTTCTCCTTAAGCAGATACCTCAACCTTCAACTGGATTTTTTTTTTGTGATAGAGAGTGGAGCTGAAATTTGATTATTAGGATAGTTTAATCCTGCTTTGTGCTAGCATTTCTGTCTCCATGTAGGACATTCTTTCCCTTCGTGATCAGTTATTGTAAAGGTGTTTGAGGGTTAGTGATAGTAGTGTAATTTGAGAAAATATGGAGTCATTTCTGACTAATAAACCACCTAAAAATTAGTTCTTGTTTTTAACTATTGGTAATAAGATAATTAAATTGAAAGGCAGTTTTGATATTTTTTTTTTATTTTTTTCCCCAAAGCTCCAGTAGATAGTTGTATGTCATAGTTGCACGTCCTTCTAGTTGCTGTATGTGGGACGTGGCCTCAGCGTGGCCGGAGAAGCAGTGCATCGGTGCGCTCCTGGGATCTGAACCCAGGCCACCAGTAGCAGAGCGCGCGCACTTAACAGCTAAGCCATGGTGCCGGCCCCAGTTTTGATATTTTAAAAGGAAGATAACCATGGAGAAATGTGAAGTATTAGTTTTTTGTAAGAAGATTTTGTTATCATTTCTTCTCTAGGATTTCCTTGAGTTGTCAAAACTGATGCTTAGATCAGATTATAGAAGTTCACACTATTAAAGTTTATCCTCTGCTCCTAAATATACTCATTTAGAGGGCCTAGACTGGAGCCTCAGGTATATTCATTTTGAACAAACTCCCCTGGTGGTCTCCTGTTTGAGTACAATGCTGTATGATATAGATTGGAAAATTACATCATATAGTGGCTGAATGATTTGCTTAAGCTGATGATTCTCCAATTTCCTGGTTTCAAGACTAATTTATATTCTTAAAATTTATTGACGACTGCAATGAGTTATGTCTATTGATATTTTCTGTTTTATTTTTATTTTTTTTGTGAGGAAGATCAGCCCTGAGCTAACATCTGTCACCAATCTTCCACTTTTTTTGCTGAGGAAGACTGGCCCTGAGCTAACATCCGTGCCCATCTTCCTCCATTTTATATGGGACGCCGCCACAGCGTGACCTGACAAGCGGTGCGTTGGTGTGTACCTGGGATCCGAACCCCAGGCCGCCACAGCGGAGCACGCGCACTTAACTGCTGCACCACCGGGCTGGCCCGATATTTTCAAATGTTCATTAATTAAAATACAATAATAAATCCAGTACATTTATGTTAACCTAACACATTTTTATGAAAAAATATATCTTCCAAGTTAAAGAGATAGTGAGAAGAATGGCCTTGTTTTATATTTTTGCAAATCTCTTTAACTTCTGGTTTAGTAGAAGACAGTTGCATTTTCATACATACTTCTGCATTCAATCTGTTGGAATATGTACTTGGAGGAGGGAGGAGTATTTTAATAGCTTTTTCAAGTGATTATGGGTATTCTTTGATGCTACACAAAACTTTACAAGTGGCAATTTCTTAAAAGTTAGTTGCAGTGAGGCACCTGAAACCATATCAATGAAATTTTTATACTCTGTTACCTTAAAACCCATTGCTCTTTCACTTCGAATGAATCTTTTTACCCAGGCCTGATTTTATAACTTGCATTGGTCATTTGAAAAATATTGGTTCACCAAATTATGCAGATCATCGAAATATTTATGCATCTTATTATACAAGTACAATATAAGAAAATCACACTCATTAGTATCACCACTAATTTCATCAGAAAAGTTTGTAGTAAGCCATCAACTCATGATGATGGATATAGGTTTCTCAAAATTCTAATTTTTGCCTGAAAGCTCCAATTATAATTGATAATTGGTGATAAATACTGTCGATTGTTTTCCTTGAAGTGGCAGGCTCATGTTGTTCATTTTTGAAAAGGTGTCTGCCATATACCTCGGTCTCAATATCACTTGGTTTGTCTATTTCTGATTCTTTCATGTAACATAATATTTCTACCCATGGTCCTTTCAAAGGAATAGAATGCTGTTTATTAATTCCTTAAGCTAGAAAGGTGGTAATGTGTTGCACATGTTTCCAAAGTATTTTTCTGGAGATTGAAAGTGAGGGAACCATCATTTAGGTCCTGAAACTTTCCCAAATACCTGATTGTGTGTGTTAGATGAGGTAGAAAGGAAGTGCCCTACCAGATAGTCAGCTTGAGAAGTATCTTACCTATATTCAAGTACAAGAGGTCTAAAAACATTTTACAGGCAGCTAACTTTCCTTGTGTTTGCGTTATAGCTTCCTGAAAACTTTTGTCCCTATGCATGAAGATGTCTTTGGTGGACCTGGGGAAGAGGTTGCTAGAAGCAGCAAGAAAAGGCCAAGATGATGAAGTGAGAACATTGATGGCAAATGGTGCTCCATTCACCACAGATTGGGTAAGCTCTCTTAATTACTCCCAATGTGTGCTGTTACCACTTTTTTCTTAAAGGCTAATCAGACTTTATTGATTTTTCTTCATTCCCTTTCTACCTCATTCTCCCTACAAGAGTTTTGTTTTCCTTGTCTCATCCGAGTATATGGTTTTCTTTTTCTTTTGGTTTTCCAAATTAAAAGAGTCTCCTGTGGATATATAGGTAGTAATTGTAAGGTATTCTATACTTGTGATTTTCTATGATACTTTTTAGAGTATTTTCTAAAGGTTTAATTCTCCCTGGAGTGTACTTGGGTTATAGGCTTTTGTAATTAGCTAGAAATTAAACAAAATCAATATAATAAGGGTACATTTTTAAACTAACTCTTTATTTCCTTTTCTGTAAAATGTCCTGGTTAAGAAGGAATAGTCTAGCCATTTTGTTTTCTTTACCACTGTTAAAAAAACATTAAAGAGGAAAGTGTAATTTCATAAGCCTAGACAGCCAGCTTGGAGAGCAGAGAGTTTCAGAAGATCCAGGTCCGGCTTATAAGGTGGACTTGCTTAGCATTCATAGATTTTGTGAGCATTGGCTTATTTTAACAATTTGATGAGCTCGTGTCCTTTGTTCTGGAGTGATTAATTCATAACTTTAGAAGCCAGCAGGTTCTTAGCACTTCACAAAAAGGAAGAAGAGGAAACCCAGGAGATTAGCATTTCTATAAATAGACCTGAAAAGAGCAATGTGAATTAAATCCACTCAGGCAGAGAAGCTGAATTTGTGAAAAGCAAAGAGTAAACGAAATAGGCTTAAAAAAAAGCATATCACAAAGAAAGGAATAGGTCTCTGGTCAAAGTGGATGCCAAATCTTACAAGATTTGCTTTGAGATGATACAGACTTGTATATTGCTATTGACACACCATTGCTAAATTTATATTGCCGCTTCATCTCATCAGTCTTTTTGTTTTGCTTTACTGTGGCGACAAACTTCTATTCCAGCCAATTAAACTTGCACCCCAAATTCCACATGTAACTTCTTTTTTTTTTTTTTTTTTGTGAGGAAGATCAGCCCTGAGTTAACATCCATGCTAATCCTCCTCTTTTTTTTGCTGAGGAAGACCGGCTCTGAGCTAACATCTATTGCCAATCCTCCTCCTTTTTTTTTCCCCCCAAAGCCCCAGTAGGTAGTTGTATGTCATAGGTGCACATCCTTCTAGTTGCTGTATGTGGGACGCGGCCTCAGCATGGCCAGAGAAGCAGTGCATCGGTGCTCGCCCGGGATCCGAACCCGGGCCACCAGTAGCGGAGCACGCACACTTAATCACTAAGCCACCAGGCTGGCCCCCACATGTAACTTCTAATCTCTGCCCCTTTCCTAAGAATTGTTTTGAACCTGCCTCTATCCCTTCCCTTTACCTGACTCAGGATGCTCTTGTCTTTCTATTTTTTTTACCTTCTTCTAAACCCTGCATAAAATCATGTCCTTTAGGAAATTTTACCTGATAAATCCACCTAACTTAAATCCATTATACGTAGCACTTATTTAATTGGTGGTATATTTATTTGCCAATTAGTATATTAATCTTTTAATTAAATCATTTCTTCAGTCCTATCTGTCCAATCAGATTCTCTCTCTAAGGACAGGAACTGTAGAATTCACCTCTTGTTCATTTGTATCTCTCCAGTAATGATTTAGGACTCTGCATACAGTTGATATTCACTGAGTACTATTTTCCCACAGCTTGGAACATCACCCCTCCACCTTGCAGCCCAGTATGGTCATTATTCCACAGCAGAAGTGCTCCTTCGAGCAGGCGTTAGCAGGGATGCCCGGACCAAAGTGGACAGGACCCCCTTGCACATGGCTGCAGCTGATGGACATGCGCACATCGTGGAACTGCTTGTTAGGGTAAAGCAAGAATAGAGGCTGGTCTTTATTGTAAAAAAAGACATCTGCCTCCCTGTTGTCTTACTTAAACGAGTGGTAGGAAACTAGATTGGGAAAGATTAAGTTTAGGACAGTTTACAGCATTGAGTTGCATCTGTTTCAAGAGTAATCATGGCTATGAGGATTTTATTTTCTAGTCTTTTAAAGGCTAAACAGACTTTATTGATTTTTCTTCATTCCTTTTTTGCAGCTGTTCTCTGCACTTATGCCTATTTTTTCAGGCACTCAGCTCTCTGTTAATAAATGCAACAAAAATCTGTTCTTTTCCCTTCCTCTCCCATCTGTTATAATTTCTCAGTGATGTCCTTAGAAGACCCACTCATTGAAGGCATTATGTCTACCAGCATTCAGGAGAATTTGAGGAATGTTTTTCTCTTTGATATTTCTTAAACGTGATCTAAATTTGAATATGTGTAATCTCTATGGAAATCCTCTTTATTTAGTGATAGAATCTTGCACCTGTGCTACTATAACCAGTGTCTGAAAAAATTACTTTTCTATGACAGAATGGTGCAGATGTGAATGCCAAGGACATGCTGAAGATGACAGCTTTGCATTGGGCCACAGAGCACCACCATCGAGATGTTGTAGAGCTACTTGTCAAATATGGAGCTGATGTCCATGCTTTCAGCAAGTTTGATAAATCTGCCTTTGACATAGCCCTGGAGAAGAACAATGCTGAGATTCTGGTCATCCTTCAGGTCTGGTTCTTTTTGTACCTCCAGAGTATAATTCAATAGAAGTTAAGGATTTTTTGTAGAAGCTTAATCAAAACTGAATTTTCCCTGTCTTATCAAAGTAGTACTTCGAATGTGTCTCAGTCTTGTGACTCAGTGTCATTAGTATCTTTTAAAAAAAAATAACATTCTTTAATGCCCTGAATTATTCATGGTGATTGAAGAACAATGTTGTAGCCAGTACAAAAACAAGATTTATTTGGCTTTAGAATGTTTTTTTCTCCGTGAAAATTTCCCTTTCTAATTAAACTTCACTTGGGACAAGTCTTTGTGTTTTCTGAACATACCTCAACTGATGTGAGACAGTATGTAGCTTTGAAGCATATTGAATCATAAGGAAGCCATCTCAGAATTAAAAATTAGCTGCAATGATTTCATCCATTAATTTCTTAAGCTAGGGGTCGGCCCTGTGGCGTAGCGGTTAAGTGCGTGCGCTCTGCTGCTGGCAGCCCGGGTTCGGATCCTGGGTGCGTACCAACGCACTGCTTGTCAGGCCATGCTCTGGCGGTGTCCCACATAAAGTGGAGGAAGATGGGCATGGATGTTAGCTCAGGGCCAGTCTTCCTCAGCAAAAAGAGGAGGATTGGCATGGCTGTTAGCTCAGGGCTGATCTTCCTCACAAAAAATAAATAAAAATAATTTCTTAAGCCAGCACTTGTGTATGGGGGAATAACAGGATGAGGAACACAAAGATTAATAGGACATGGCCCTGCCCTTGGAGTGTTTACAGTGTGATCAAGGTAGACAAGAAATAAAGCATCACAATACTACAGTGATAAACAGATATCTAGCAACTGTTACAGGAGTGCAGAAAGGGAGTATTAATGATGCTTAAGGCAAGGATTAAAGTAGATGTAGAATTTGAACTGAGTTTTGAAGGAGAAGTAGGCAGAGAAGTGAGAAAAATGATATTCTAGGCTAGAAAAAGAGTAAATCGAAGACAGCAGTGTGTGGGCTGGCCCCGTGGCTTAGTGGTTAAGTGCGTGTGCTCCGCTACTGGCGGCCCGGGTTCGGATGCCGGGTGCGCACCGATGCACCGCTTCTCCGGCCATGCTGAGGCCGCGTCCCACATACAGCAACTAGAAGGACGTGCAGCTATGACATACAACTATCTACTGGGGCTTTGGGGGAAAAAAATAAATAAATAAAATTATGAAGATAGCAGTGTGAAAGGACATGGAACGTTCAGGAAAGAGTAAGTAGCTCTGTGACTAGACATTGGGCAGTGGAAGTGGAGGTAAGGAGTGGCAGGAGCTAAGGCTTGAGAGTTAGGCTGGGTTCTCAATGTAAGGCTGTTACATGACATACAAAGGAGCTTGGACTATTTTGTGGGCAATGGGGATCCAATAGAAGGTTTTAAATAGAGGATTGATATGATTGAATTTTTTTTAGAAAAGATGATTGTTTGGAGTGTGGTATGCAGACTAGAGAGGGAAGACACTTAATTCTAAAGAACCATATAGTGACTTTCATTAGGCCAGACAAGAGCCAATGAGGGCTTAAGTTAAGGAAGTGATAGTGGAGGAGAGAAGGGGCAGATTCAAGAAGGAATTTAACAGTAACCAGAGAATGGATAATCTGTTTCAACTGAAGCTCTTAGTCAAGGGGATAATTATGTATGAAAAATAGATAGCCATTCTGTTGCATTTTCAGTAGTTGGTTGGTTGGTTTTCTCTGACAAATGGTTCCCTATAGACTGGTTATCCTTTTCAACTTTCAATTCCTTGTTTAGAGTCCTTTCATAATTGGACTTTTTTAGTAGTGATCATGTTTGTAGAAAACTGCTTCTGAAAGTAAAATAATAAGCATCTTTATACTAAAATTATGCAAATATCCCTGGAAGCAAAAGTACAGCATATGGAGCTAGACTTTATTTTATTTTTTTTTTTTAAAGATTTTATTTATTCATTTTTTTCCCCCCAAAGCCCCAGTAGATAGTTGTATGTCATAGGTTCACATCCTTCTAGTTGCTGTACGTGGGACTCGGCCTCAGGGTGGACGGAGAAGTGGTGCCTTGGGGCGTGCCCAGGATCCGAACCCGGGCCGCCAGCATCAGAGCGCGCGCACTTAACCGCTAAGCCACGGAGCCGGCCCGGAGCTAGACTTTAAAATCTGACGCTCATTTATTTGCTCATCTGACGCTCATTTATTTCTTCAGTGGCAGAATGGAACAAGTAGTTGAACAAAACTCTGGAGGATATTGTTCTCTATAGATTCTCTACAGGGATCTTCTGTTAGCACATTGACTTGTAGATAATTGATCATAGAATATTAGTGCTGGAAATTCGTTTTTAGGCCACCTCCCTCATTTTTCAAATAAAAAAACAAGATCCAGAGAGGTTAAGTGAATTGTCTATAAGTTTTTGCAAATAATACACCTTTTTTTTCCTGAAGTAGAAATAAGCTTGAAAAAGCAACCCAACATCTCTGTTGCCCTGGTCTGAAAAAAAAAACAACAGTAGTCTTAATGAGAACTCTAAGCTCCCTGGGACATTGTGTTCTGGAACTAGTTCTGCTTGATAGAGCATTGTAGGAAGGTGCCTGTTCAGTAACTGTAAAACTGTGTAACTAAGGGTAATAAGTATGCTGACTTTGAGATAGCCTGCCTTGTTTTGTAGGAAGCAATGCAGAATCAGGTTAATGCTAATCCCGAGACAGCCAACTCTGTGACTATGGCTGCCCCATTCATCTTTACGTCAGGAGAAGTTGTCAACCTCGCTAGCCTTGTTTCTTCAACCAACACCAAAACAACCTCAGGTAATACTCTGATAATGTGGCATTTATTTTAGACTCCCCCCCCCCCAAAGCCCCAGTAGATAGTTGCATGTCATAGCTGCACATCCTTCCAGTTGCTGCATGTGGGACTCGGCCTCAGGATGGACGGAGAAGTGGTGCCTCGGTGCGCACCCGGGATCCGAACCCGGGCCACCAGCATCGGAGTGCGAGCACTTAAACACCAAGCCACGGGGCCGGCCCCTTATTTTAGACTTAAAATGAGCAGAACCCCAGGTTTTCCTGTGAGATGAATAGATACCCTGATACCCACTCCTTTGTTAAAATATTCCCCAAATAGAAGATTTATAATAAATTTTAAAGCTAATACACTGATTCTTTCTGGGGGAAAGGAGGATCATACATAGTGATTATACATGAGTGCTTACTGTGTTAAAAGTAAAATATTCTACAGATTAATCTGCTGAAAGGTTATGCCTGACCCCAAAGTGAAAATATAAGGGTGCTTCTGTATGGTCCTGCTAAGGAAAATAGTTAAATATTCATAGTCTGAAGAAGAAACAAATAAAGCAGAATAAACATAAGTGGTTGTTGGAGTGCTGATGTAAAAGAGAGATGTGTGGTTATTTGAGTCAAGTATAAGAGTCTCGATTTGTTCTTGAGAACATATATAACAACATAACAGCAGGGAAAAGCACTTGGTGTCAATCTTTTGAGATCTGTATGTTTTTAACAAAAATATCTGTCTAAAAAGGAGCAAATTGGGGCCAGTCCCTTGGCTTAGCGGTTAAGTGCATGAGCTCCGCTACTGGTGGCCCGAGTTCGGATCCCGGGCACGCACCAACCCACCGCTTGTCAGGCCATGCTGAGGCGGCATCCCACATACAGCAACTAGCAGGATGTGCAACTGTAACATATGGCTACCTACTGGGGCTTTGGGGAGAAAAAGGGAAAAAAGGAAGAGGATTGGCAATGAATGTTAGCTCAGGGCTGGTCTTCCTCAGCAAAAAGAGGAGGATTGGCATGGATGTTAGCTCATGACTGATCTTCCTCACAAAAAAAAAAAAAGGAGCAAATTGAGCTTATTTTCAACATCTCTTTACAAATAATTGTTTTACAACAAGGGAACTTGTGTCTTCATTTAAATAAATTTTCCAACTGACTTTTGCTTTATTTTTCTATTTCTGATTTTCATTTAAAAATAAGTAACTGTATTCCTAGTTAAGTTTGTATAATATCAAAGGAAGATCTTGAATGAGGTTTTATTATTGAGAAGCAGTGTGGTAAAATAGAAAGAGCTTATACACAATATACATAGAATTTTGCATTCAGAACTGCGTTCAAATACTAATTTATTAATTGACTAGATGCTTGACCTTGGGAAAACTACTTACTTCTCTAAGCTTTCTTTACTTATCTATAAAATTAGGATATAATAATACCTACTTTATGAGATTGTTGTGAGACTTGGAGATTTTGTATTTCAGTTTGTATTTTATAACAGGACTTAAATAATAGCTAGTCTTAAATGAAAAGATAACTTCTCCATGAAGGTTGACTCTGTCATGCTCACAAGGGGGCGGTAGTGACCTTCATTTTATAGGCCAGCAACTGTCATTTAAAATTAACTGTGCTTGGCTTTTGGCTGGATTATGCAGAAAATTTAGCTTAAATCTACGTAAACATGTAATCAGAACATTCACAGCTTTTTGCATTGGTTGTGATTCAGGCCACGCTGATTAAGACAAGTACTTTTATAATCCAAAAGTCTTTAGAAGCCATTAAAGTTATATGTTCATGAACATGTGAAGAGAGCTAGAGTTGGTCTTTAATCTAACTACTGAAATTCTCCAGACCCTGATCTGGCATGATTAGCAAAATTAAAGAAATTCGGGATAGAAATTCTTAGCCTGGGCTCCCATGGGCCTATATCATGTTTGTCATGTTGCTTTTGGCAAACCAACTCTTCTTTCACCCTTCTGTATGCTGACAACTGCAAATTGAAATTACCAAACTGTCACACAAGAGAGCTGATCTCTCGGGGTGTCATCTTACTCATGAAGCAGTTCTACCTAGCTATCCTCCTTTAGGGGACTGGCCTACCTGATGCTTAATCAGTGCAGATAAAAGAAAGGAGAAAAGTTAAAGACAGATTTGGGTTGTGTTATTCAACTGGGTTAAAGGATTTTCTTTTCCTGAATGGTGGATAGTCTTCTCGTTTTCCATCATCCAGTAATATTTTTAAGAATTTACTGAAAGTATCCTAGGATTATCATTTTGGTGGATATTTTTGATACCAAAATTCAGATGACAAAGTTTGCTTTCAATTTTCCATTTGTGACTAAAGATATTAATCATCATCAGTGCCACCATCAAAAATTGCAGCGATTTGGAAAGGCAGACTAATTTAAACATTAATCAGGGCAAAACAAAGTTATGAAGATGAATTTCCTGTTTCTGTAGAATCATAAGATGCACTCCAAAGTCAAAGATAAATAGCTTTGTGTTGGTTCATAAAGAGTACAGGTTTTGGAATCGAATGAATTATGTTCTAGTCCTGGCTGTGACATTTACTAGCTGCATGACCTTAGGCAAGTTAATTAGTTTTTCTAGATCTAGTTTTCACTAAGTTACTGAGCTTGTCTAGCCTCCATAGCATACTCCCCTAAATCCTGGTCTGAAGAGTTTATTTAAATAAGCCATATTCTGAATAGATAACAAGAGTCGTCACTGATAATGCTATTTCCCTTCCAAAAACAACAGCATCCATGTACATTTTACTTTATTTGATGTTGGGTCTTATATTGAGCAAAGGAAGCAATTAACATTACTGAACAATATAGTACTTTATTTTCCTAGAATTCACTGGGATAAGTCTAAAGAAGTAATTTCCATTGTCTCTTTTCAGTTTCAACTGTGTATGTCAGAATACTAAAACTGATTTTTCACAAATGTTTTTTCTTCGGTTTTGCTATTGAGGGGAAGTTGGGTGAGTCATTATGTTTGAATCAAAGGGAGAGCACCCTTAGGTTGGAATGTCATATGCTAAAAAGCACATAATGCTTTTCTCCTGAAGCAGTTCTACCCAGCTATTCTCCTTTAGATGAGTGGCCTACCTGATGTGTTGCCCACTTGCACTTTAATTATAACAGCCTTATTTTGTTTGTGTGTATGTGTGTGTGTTTTAACTGTGCTAAAATAATAACAGCCTTGTTTTTTTGTTTTTTTTTTTGTTTTTTTTTTAAAGATTTTATTTATTCAGCTTTTTCCCCCCAAAGCCCCAGTAGATAGTTGTATGTCATAGGTTCACATCCTTCTAGTTGCTGTACGCGGGACTCGGCCTCGCGTTGGACGGAGAAGTGGTGCCTCCGGGCGCTCCCGGGATCCGAACCCGGGCCGCCAGCATCAGAGCGCGCGCACTTAACCGCTAAGCCACAGAGCCGACCCAACAGCCTTGTTTTTTGATTGCTAGTGACTTACTGTCACGTATATTCCAACCTCCATGAAAGATATAAATATCTAAAAATTGCTTGTTCCTTGTTTCATTTGTGGGTTCTTATGTCAGCATTTGGTGTGATAGGCTGAGTGATGAGAAAAGCATGAACTAAGCAGGAAAATTAGGGAATAGGCTATAGGTGGATCTTGCTCTGCATGAAGTCATTATATAAACACAGGCTCCTTTCTGGAGGTCAAGCACTGTGTTCCACTCGACCATTTGGTTCCATGAGTATTTTTCGAGAGAATTAGAATAAAATAGGAATCTCATCACTATCTGTACTCTCATCTCTACTCTTGATAGTCATCATCCAAAAGCTTTAAGAAAGTTTGTAGCTATGAGGAGTACTATACAAGTAATCTATCTTTTTTTTTTTTCGTGAGGAAATTGGCCCTAAGCTAATATCCATTACCAATCTTCCTCTTTTTGCTGAGGAAGATTAGCCCTGAGCTAACATCTGTGCCCATCTTCCTCTATTTTGTATGTGGGATGCTGCCACAGCATGGCTTGATGAGCAGTGCTTAGGTCCGTGCCCGGGATCTGAACCCGCGAACCCTGGGCCACTGAAGCCCAGTGCACAAACTTAACCACTATGCCACCAGGCCGACCCCAAGTAATCCACCTTTTTAAGGAAAGTTTTCTGAAACTTAAATTTATAAACCAATTAGATTACCTAGATTAATCATACAGAAAAGCATTCTTTGCTCTGTGGAAGAATTTATTATAAGAAGTGCTAAATAGAAGTTTCCTTAAGTATTTTTAAGTATTTTACAGATAACTGACTTTTTGACAGAAGAAAGGCTGGAAAGAATCTTTAAGTGTAGGAAATGGGAGAACTTAAAAATTAAGAGTACATTTAAAAAGAAGATAAGTGTATTTAGTCAGACTCCAGTCAGGAGACAAAACTACAGTGATTTATATAATTCTATTATATATATAATTTATAAACGTATATGTATAATTTATAAAGAATTATTAGTTAGTAATAGTGGATTAACTACTCAGAGGTGAGGAGAACCCTGAAGAAGACAGGAATAGCCAATATAGGAGCAGCCACTACTTCTTTATGACGAAACTTCATCTCATGCCAGTTGACAAGAAATGTTTATAGGGACCAGCTTCAGTATCACAAAGAAGGGTGGATTTGGAGATGAGAGTCAATAAATTCCCAACTGGTACAATAAGTATCTCTGAAATTATAGTGAACGACATAGGGAAATGCAATTCATTTTATATAAGTTAGATTTATGCAAAACTGTTGAGTGATACTTTTGGTCCATAAAGTTAGGCATGTCTGTTGCCAGATCTAATGTACTTCCCTCTTGGAACTTAGCTGTAAGACTAGCACACAGATACAAGAGAAAAAGGTTATGAACAAAGTTTTTTTAAAAAGCATATCATGATATAACTAAGTTAGATAATTGTTGTTTTTTAGTATTAATTGGTTATACTACCCTTTGGCATTCAATACAAAAAACGTCAGGTTTTTAACTGTCCTTACACCAGAGGTCAGTCCTGTTCTTCTCACCTATCTAGCTGATGAATAGAGGTAGTATGGTAGAGTAAAGCCCAGGAGGGGCCTATTCCCTCACCACTGCTTAGCTTGGGGTGAGGCATGCTTTGTGTGCTTACTGCCTGCTGCCAAGGAGAGCTCTGCACAGCCAGCCTAGGGAGTGGGCGGCACTCTTGATCTGTTAGCTACTAATGCTCAGCGTTGGCAGTGCCAAGAGAATGATCAAATGAGGGGAATGTAGTAGCCCTATACCAAGCATATTACTTTAATCTACTTTAAAGGGAAAACTTTTTAAACCGTAAAACAGTTTTAACACCATGATAATTCGTTTATATAAATTTGTATTAGAGAGCAAGATTAAGGACAGTAGAGTGAAAAGCTGAGGTTTTGGCTTAAAAGTCATTTTTAGTTCATCTCAATTTATTCTCTCCACTGGACCTCATTTGCCTTTTTTACTGAAATAGGTGACCCCCATGCCTCCTCAACAGTACGCTTCTCAAGTTCTACCACCTCAGTGCTGGCCACCCTTGCAGCTCTTGCTGAGGCATCAGCCCCCCTCTCCAACTCACACAGAGCCACAGGTAGGTAAGGATATCTGCTGGGTGAATCACGATTTCTTCTTTTGTTTTTAAATCTCCAGCAGACTTAATTTACATGAAATATTAAAGAATTACAGTTAATTAGAGATAGCTAGGGAAAAGAGATGTAGAGTCATTGAGCATCAGAAAGAAAAAAAATCGCTAAGTGATGTAATCAGACAGCTGAATAATATCAGAGACTGACTAAGTTATTCTTTTGTATTTTTGCAGTTTCAAGCTTGTTTGCCCTGACTCCAGTTGCTTCAGATTGAAATATTTAGTTTTATATTGGCTGCTTTTTTGGAAATACTCTATGTTTTGTTTTGACTGATGCTATCATAGAATGATTTAAAATAGCAGCCTAGGGGCCAGCCCTGTGGCTTAGCGGTTAAGTGCACGTGCTCCACTGCAGCGGCCCGGGGTTCGGATCCCAGGCACGCACCGACGTACCGCTTGTCAAGCTGTGCTGTGGCGGCATCCCATATAAAGTGGAGGAAGATGGGCACAGATGTTAGCCCAGGGCCAGTCTTCCTCAGCAAAAAGAGGAGGATTGGCGACAGATGTTAGCTCAGGGCTAATCTTCCTCACCAGAAAAAAAAAAAATAGCAGCCTAGATATCTTGTACTGAAGCTATCTTTAATAGAGGACTGCTACCTCATTGTTATGTCCTGTGTACTTCAGGTTGGCTTGCTTTTATTTTCACTGTAGTTGTTATTTTGGCATTTCCAGTGGAGTTGGGCAGATATATGCTGTATAATGCACTTCTGATATTTAAAACAAAACGATTTCAAGTCACTTAGCTAGTGGTCTATGGCGAAAGGCTTAAAGTTTCATATAGGTAGGGGCAAATAGTGATTGGTAGAGCTAAATAGTCATCTAAGAATCTTTCTGGAACTCTCTGGCAGTCTGCTCCATCATAAATGAAAGCAGATTGTTCTGATTTCTTTCTGCCATTGACATTTGCGTGGTGAGAACATTCCTCCAATCCTATTTTTCCAGCTGGCAGCAGTCATAAAGATCTCCATTCAGATATATATGAGTGAGCAGCATGGCAAAGGGAAAAGCAGTGTATTAAACTGGTGCTTGTTATCCTTTTGATTTTCTCTTTGATCTTGGATAAATCACTTAACTTCTCCAGGTCTCAGTTTCCTCATCTCTGGTATGATGGTTGGGTTAGATTATCTGTCAAAGCCCTTTCAGCTATAGCATTTAACTGTTCTTTGTTTCTAAGAGGTGTGAATATTCTGTATTTCCATTGAACTACCTGAATGTGTCTCATATGGGTAGTACGTACCCCACTTATTGCAGAGTTCTACTTGTGACTCTAGATAGAGAAATTCCATAGTAGTAGGAACTGTTTCCCCTAATAGTTGTTGGGGATATTGACTACACAAACTAAAAATCTTGATTAAACATAATACATGTAAAGCTGTTAGAAAAGTACCTGGCATATAGTAAGTACTCAGTGTCAGTTGCTGTTAATATTGTTCATCTGTCAGATGGGAGAAGCCACCTATAATTTTTGTCTATCAAACTTCTTCAATGCTTTGACTACTTGACATATTATTGTGCTAATTCACTATTAAATGCCTCCATTTTCTTATAGAAATAAATCTACTCTAATTTATAGTTATTTTTCTCAGCTCCATAGATTTATTTAGATTTTCAAGATGCTTCCTGAAAAAGAGTTCTAAGATCAAATATGTTGGGGAAACTCAGCATATCTTTTCCCCTCTTGGAGAATCACAATACTCATTAGCCTATTCGGGTCTCTGATACTTCCTACAAAAGAAACAAACAAAAAGTTTTTTTGTTTTTTTTTGGTGAGGAAGATTAGCTCTGAGCTAACATCTGTTGCCAATCCTCCTCTTTTTGCTGAGGAAGATTGGCCCTGAGCTAACATCCACGCTCATCTTTCTCTACTTTATATGTGGGACGCCTGCCACAGCATGGCTTGATAAGCGGTGCATAGGCTGATGCCCAGGATCCAAACCTGCAAACCCTGGGCCACTGAAGCAGAGCATGTGAATTTAACCACTACACCACTGGGCTGGCCCCAAAAGTTTTTTTTTTTTTTTTGCTTGAGGAAGATTGTCACTGAGCTAACATCTGTGCCCATCTTCCTTTATTTTATATGTGGGACGCTACCACAGCATGGCTTGATGAGCAGTGCGTAGGCCCACACCCAGGATCCCAACCTGCAAACCCTGGACCGCTAAAGTGGAGTGTGCCAACTTAACCATTATGTCACCAGGCCGGCCCCACAAAAAAAAATTTTTTAAATACATGTATTTTAAATATATGAAAATGTCTTTGTTCAAAGAACCCATCTTTAATGATAGCTATTAACATCTCAGTGAAGACATTTTAGGAAATACTGTTTAATGCATTCCCTATTTTTTCTCCTCTGACTTAGCATTGTTCACAAGAGCTTGCTTTTGTGAACTGTTGAATCTAATACTTTTTTTCAAGCTTTCCTATCCCTGACGTTATCAATTTCAAGAAGGCTGAAATTGCTATACTCCTATTTTTTAAAAAGCTGAAGTTTTAAAATTTACTTTTTTGTCATTTATAGCTAATTCAGAGGAAATCATAGAGGGAAATTCTATTGATTCATCAATCCAGCAAGTGGTGGGGAGTGGAGGCCAGAGGGTCATCACCATAGTGACCGATGGAGTCCCTCTGGGTAATATCCAAACTGCCATCCCTACTGGAGGCATCGGGCAGCCATTTATTGTAACTATGCAAGATGGACAGCAAGGTAAGTGATCCCATTTAGGCAATTGTTTATTAAAAGATATTCTAGACACTCAACCCTCCTCTAAAAAGGCGGTCTTAAGGTAAGTAGTGGGAATGGGAGAATGCCAGATGCCAGATGCTCTGAAAAAGAAAAAGAAATAGAAACCAGGCTGGCAAAGGCTAATTCCCCTGATATGTATAAAATTTGTGAGTAAAAACCAATAATCTGGTAGAAAAAAAAGAAATAATATGAACCAATAGTTCACAGAAAATACTGATGGTTCTTAAAAATATGAAAATATGTTCAGCTTACTTCATTTATAGCAAGAGAATTGCAAATAAATACTGCACTGAGATACCATTATAACACTATGTTGTCAAGGGTGTGGGGAAACAGGCACTCTTATAAATTGCTGGTGAGAGTATAAATTAAAGCATCCTCTAAAGAGGAAATTGGCAATATCTATCAGTATTAAAGATGCACATACCTTTTGGTTAAAAAGTTCTTTTTCTATGAATTTATATTCACATACACAGAAATTACATATATACTAAGTTATTCATTACAGCATTATTTTTAATCATCAAAGATTGAAAAGAACCTAAGTATATGTCAATAGGCAAATGGATAAATAAATTGTAGTACACACATACGATGGAATATTATACAGCTGTTAAAAACAATGAGGAAATTCCTTATATACCAGTATGGTCTGATCTCCAAAATATATTGTTAAGTGACAAGAGCAAGATGCAGGACAGTGTGTAGAGTATGCGACATTTGTATTTTTGAAAAGAGGGAAATATATCTATATTTGCTAATATATTTATAGACAGAGACTATCCCTGGAAGGACATTCAAGAAGAACGTTGGTAACATTGCTTGCTTCCTGGGAGGGCACCTGGGTAACTGGGGATGGATGGGAGGCTTTTCATTGTACATGCTTTTATAGCTTTTAATTTTTGAACCATGTGAATGTATTACTTAGTCAAAAAATACATAAGTAAATTTTGTTTTGAAAACAGAAACTAATCATTATGACTTCATTCCTTTAAAATATTGGAGGTTGAGGGGCCAGCCCAGTGGCGCAAGCAGTTAAGTGCACGTGCTCCGCTGCGGCGGCCCGGGGTTTGCTGGTTCGGATCCCAGGTGTGCACCAATGCACCGCTTGGCAAGCCATGCTGTGGTGGCGTCCCATATAAAGTGGAGGAAGATGGGCACGGATGTT